CCAAAGATTTCTCTTGCTTTCCTTTCCACTTTCAGGTCGTTCCGCAGCTAAGCTATCACCACAAAGCGCTGATAGCACCTGTTCAATCCCGGATTTTGCCTTTGATAGACTATCGAGCTTTTCGAAAAATGCCCGAATAATGATCGTAGTCGCACTTTTTGTGCTCAGGTTGAAACTAATCAATACAAAAAATGTCTGCAATGCAATGCAGTGCAATGTCCTTTGATCCTGCATAGTTCTAGCCTCTTCTGCTTTGTATGTGAACGCTTTCCTTTGCCTCCGTTCCTCTTTCTTGCAAATCTTCGAGTCTGTGAGTGGTTTCCGACATGTAGGTCCGATTGCAATCCAACGATCATTCTATAAGCTCGAGATACAGGGACCAGGAAGTGATCCTAGGAGGGTACTCTCTTAATCGCACGTTAGCTTTGGCCCTTTTCTACGCGCTCTCAAATCGCAGGAATCGCTGAAATGGCCAAAATCGCAAAATCGAGACCTACCACACAAGAAAGATAACAAATGCACAGTTCCCCAAAAAAGGTGTTCTCGTGGAGACCGTGTAACATGATGTCATGTCACATTCAAATTTACGGTTTCATGTCACGGTCAAAATAATGCGCGCGGTCCCACACGCCAGACACTGGAAATTAGCGCGGTCGTCAACGTGTTAAAGTACATACAGGATGCCCCAACTTTCCCAACAACTCTTTAAAGGAATCCTTCACGGAAAAATCATGATTCTATTTCAGCCATAAATCACTGGCTTGAGACTCATATCCACGATAAGAATGAAAAGAACAGAAAATTGCTTTTGTTTTGGTAAAAAATTCGAAAAACCGAAAGGGCTGCTACGCGTTCAAAGTACCGCCGGACATCTGTCACAAATGCTGGCGACGGGATGCTTCCACTTGGTTCTTGGAGTGCCTTCACTAGAAACTCTTTCTGGCCTTTGCTTATTGCATTCACATCTCACACTTCTACTGCATCCTATTCTATCGATCGATTTGTCTCTACTCTCCAAAATCGCACGCTTTGACCCGATTCTTTCGCCCCACTTTGGCTCCGCGCCTTTTACCTTCGATTGTCCATAGAGTGTAGTTTTTGTAAGTTTGTTTCTCTTCGGAAACTGATATGCGTGAAACTTTGTATGTTGTCTTTAGTGATCACAACTGACATATGCGTGATGGGAAAGAAATGCAGGATTTTTTTTCGGGGAGAATTCCTTCAAAAGTAAGGTTTGGGGTTTCTGATCGAAACCAAGCCTTTCCCGAGAAAAATGCAGTGGCACGCAAGAGGGGAGCATGCACACAGAATGGGGATGATTTCACAAGGCCGAAGCGCTAACAAAGGAGGTCGTTCAGGGTGTGGAAAGCTTTTTCAAAACGGTTTTCTGCATGTTATGGGAGCTCATGCGTAGACTACAAAACCGAGGTCCATTTTCGCTGAGCGGCCCCGCGAAGGCCAAAAAAGGTGAGGAAATGGTCCAAGGTTCAATCCCTCGTGATGACAAAATTTTTGCATTTAGGTTGGAGCTTCCAAATTTGCTCAAAATAGCGCCACCAGAATAGATATAATATTCATTATAAAGACCATCAGTAACCATTAATTCCAGATTTTCAAAGTAATCTGGCAGAAAAAGTTGTCGGGTCATAGGGGCGCCAAATGGCGCAGAAGCGGCGCAAATTGGAGCTATCGGAAAGAAAACTGGAATTTTGATCCAGATCCGAAAAATTGGCCATTGATACTTATAGGTGCATCCAGCCGGTGAACTGAAAAGGCGTTCCAGTTAGTTATCCTATCCAAATAATGAGAACTTCCACTACCGAATGGGCAGTGGCAAACACCCAGACTAATAATGTGTATCAGGACATAGTAGTATATTATTTTGGAGTTGTCAAATTCTTCTCTCCATCAAAACGTGAGATTTTGGGTTCACGGCTCCTCCTTTTGCAACGCTTCATCTCAATAGCTGGAGCGATTTCGAGGACGTGGTGTGGGATGTGCTTCATGAAGCCGAATTGGATTACGTGAATCATAGAGCACTTTGCTTCATTTCCTCTCCGCCCACGTTTTCAAGTCAGCCGCCGGCGTACGTACATGACCGCTCGTGGCCATGGCCACCCACTTTTTCGAAGTTAGGTCGAAATCTAGATTTTTCCTGAAGAATTTGCTAATTCCAAAATAATGTACACTGTATCAATATAGGCATAGGGGAAATCCGGGTCCTGATCACGAATATCACCTT